GGGATTTTTTTATGGCAAAAGTTTTAACGAGGCCCTTGTTTTTGCCCTCCTATACGTTTTCCTAGTTGAATGAAATTCTCCATTTTGATTAAAAAAATAAATTTTACTTTGTCTTTCTTAATTTTGATTCTGTTTATTTTTTATTTTTTATTTATTTAAATAAAGTTTTAGTCATATCGCGTTGTTGTATTGTAGATTTTTGCTTGATAGTTGCCATTTGATTGCCCATACAACAGCTCTCTTTGCTCGACAGCCATCACTTGTTTAGCCCTAGACTATTACATAGCTGTGTCACTTGTTCTTTTTTCACGATCCTCACTCATAGCTTGGGATTTAGGGCAGAGACCAAAACCCCAGAGCTAAACTAGCTCTAAAACGACGATTTTAAACATTAATCAACCGTAAATTATATAAGGCATAGTCTCCGAAACCATAAGAAATCCAACACTAGTAAGCTCTAGTAACTCATAATAAAACTTAAAGATTTCTGAAGAAAAAGAAAAGCAATGTAATTGTATCAGGGCTAGAAATGAAAACCCCACTTAGAAGTTTTCAATAGTTCTTTTTGTTTTTTAATAAAAAAAAACTTGAAGGTGCTTGGGTTTTCCTAGTAGTCACTGATGAAGGTCCTTGTGGTTTTCCTGCTCAAAAAGTGTAAGAAGGAAGTTGTATTGCTCCTTCTCTCTTTTTTTAGTCACTGGCTCCATGATTCTGCTGCAAGAACGATAGTGTAAAACACAAATACACTAAACAAAAGAGTTCAATGTAATCTAATCGAAATGCCAAACAATCCCATGCCAAAGTTCTTACATTATCTACAACCTCTTCTATAAACAAAACCAGAGCAGCTTTTCTTTGCTAGCTTTCTGACTTGAGAGAATTGTGGCATTACAAATGCTCTTGGCTTCCAAAATGGATCTAGTAACACCCACAACAAGGACATACATAAAGTTTTCTATAAACAAACTTTCTTCCTTTTACATCTTACCATCCCTGAACCCCGAATGACAATTGTGGCAGTAGAAATCATCTTGCTACGGCTTAACATTCCTGCTAATTCTGATTGCTTAGCTCCATGATGAAGAAAAATGAACATTTTCTTCAAATTTTGAGAATGCTCCAGGATATACCGTGCAAATTCGATTTCATTAGACCCAGTGGAAGGCTCTATGGTTACCTCCTTTAGCTGACGAACAAAAGCAAGGTTTTGCAATTTCCAGTATCCCATACCAAAGCCAGACTGGAAGTCAAGGCATATATATTTATTGAAAAAGACATCCGGATTAGTTTATTTTTTGACAAGAATTTATAAGTAACTGCATCTAGAAATTACTGTAAGAAAATGTGTGTGAGAGGGAGATCAGTAGGCAACATTGACTTACACTTACTACAGATTTGGTGTCCCCTCCGTCAAGGCTAGTCTTTATGTATAGACTATTCAAATTAGTCATTCCTCTAACAAGAGAGACCATTGCTGGGACAAGGTCATCTTTCAAGCTACTACAATGAATACCCAATTTACGAATATTATCCAATGGTGCTGACATGGAACCTTCCAGGAATGCCTGCAAATTTATCAAGAAAGATTCATAAATAGAAAGAAGGCATGAAGCTACACCCCAAAAGATAAAAAACAGTAATAAAGTTTAACTAGCTGCTATATATCTCAGAGTCTAGATAAGTAACCATCAATTGACAAAAAATTTAAATAATG